CCGCTGCTCCCGGCCGTCGGGGCGCCGCGGAGCATGTCGGAGAGCGACATGGAGAAAGCCATCAAGGTAAGGGGAGATGCCTCGTTCCTCCCCGCTCTGCCCTTGCGGCGTTCCTCTCGGCTCCGGCCTCAGGAAACGGAGGGAACTTGGGGTGAGAGTCCAGCCGCTCCCGGGTTTCGGTCTCCCCCGGGTCCCGCGGCCTGCGTGGTGCAGTCCTGGGGCGAAGGGCTTGTGTGGGGGGCAGGGGGCGGGACCTGTGCTCCCCTGGAACAGAAGATGAGTGGCGTGGCGATACTGGAGGGAATGGGGTGGAGGGGTCTCACTGCTCTACTCTCGATCTCTCCCCAAGTGCCGCCAGCAGCTGCTTCCGGATGATCCGCTTGCTGCCACAGCACTCGGAGACTTGGACTTTACCCATCCCTCCGATTTGTTTGAAACTAGCCTCTTGGAAATCTGCAGTTCAGAAGGAGGTGGTTCGCCTTCCTACAAACCCAGTCCTTTGGCGAATAGATTGTGCTCATTTTCCAGTGTGTTCCCCTCCACTTTTCCTCTCCCCTCCTCCTAGGGAGCACTGCGTTTATTTAGGAAGAGCTAGGGGTGTCCTGTGACTTACTGCTCTGTTAACAACAACCAAAAGCTACTACGTGTTCTAAAATGACCCGAATAAAATGACAGTTTTTCTAAAACCTGATTTACTTTTTTAAAAAAAAACTCTTTGAGGCATTAAGAGAAAATTATCTAGCTATGATTAGGAAATTAGAGTCTTGTATAAATTGAACATGAAGCTTAACGTCTAATAGGTGTTATTTACTATTTTACAATGTTAAGTCAACTCAACATGTTTAAGGATTTCATCTCCTTTTGAGGGACAGGAATCCATTGGCAATTAAGGGTTACTGTATTTTCCCTTTCAGGACACAATCACCATGACCAATAACTGATAAAGAACTTAAACTTCTAACACATTTTTGGATGGTAAAGCTTATAGAAATCATCAATCATTACCAAGAAACTTCACCTTTTAAAAGATACATCAAAAAATAATGTATACATTAAGGGAGATCAAATTTTTCATAATAGAAATAAAGGTTTTAAAAGATTGCTTTGACAGATCAGTATCTCCAGAGAGATAAACACATGTTTTAAGTGTTTTAGAAAAACTTGAACTCTGCTCATTAATAAAGTGAAAACCACAAGGACTCACCCTGTAAAGAGGATGGCACGTGTCCCTGAATTATGGGGCCAGTCGGGCATATCTGCAGGCTATAGTAATATGCTGCTAGCTGGAGAGAGAAGGCAGAGCACGACTGCTTTTCAAAGCTGTTAGCATCTAGCACCTAGGAAGGAACATGACGGGGTGAACTCAGCTGAAAAGGAATCAAGATCATAAACTATTACATATCTAGTATTACAGACTTTTGGTTCAAGGTTTCCATCATACCAGCTCAAGCGCAACTTAATACAACTACATTAAAATTCAGAAGACACTAAAGGCAGATCCTGTGCATGTGAAAGTAGATTTAAAATCAACATTTCAGCTAACACTAGAATTTACTCTCTATACTGTCATGTATATATAGAGATATATACACACACACAAAAATAATTATAATGATTGATTTTCAGTTAAAAAAGACTGCCTTGAAGTATCCATTTTTTCTTTTAGTTTAGATTTTATTGATACAGGGTCAAGAATTGTTGCCTAACGTTAATAGTATATGAATGGGTTGTGAAATTAGGCAACATGTGGCAGATTTTTAAAATCAACTTTGTCTCATTTGTCCCCAGTACTGTCTTAGGCACTACTGCTACAAAGCCAGCCTCCTGGGTGTCCCTGATCTCATGGAGCTTATATTCTAGATGGTGGAATTAGGTTATACACATTGTCAGGTTGTTTTAAATAAGAGGTATAAAAGTATGGGTGTACTGTTTTAGGAAGGGTGGTCAGAAAAGACTCTGAGGAGATGACATTTGCATAGAGTTCTGAAGGGAAGGAAGGAGCAAAACTTCACTGTATTTGGGAAGACTATTACAGGCAGCCCTAGTTGGTTTGGCTCAGTGGATAGTGTTGGCCTGCAGACTGAAGGGTTCTGGGTTCGATTCCGGTCAAGGGCACATGCCCTGGTTACTGGCTTGATCTCCAGTGGGGGGCGTGCAGGAGGCAGCCAATCAACGATTCTCATTGATGTTTCTATCTCCCTCTCCCTCTCTGAAATCAATAAAGAATATATTTAAAAAAAAAAGAATATTACAGGCAGTGGGAACAGTAGGTACAAGGCACAATGTAGGTGCAGGTTCATGTGTGATCCAGGAACAGCAAGGTGGCTGGAATTCAGTGGGTCTGTATAGATCAGTGATGGCGAACCTATGACACCTCTGACATGTGAACTCATTTTTTTGATTGATTTTTCTTTGTTAAATGGCATTTAAATATATAAAATAAATATCAAAAATATAAGTCTTCGTTTTACTATGGTTGCAAATATCAAAAAATTTCTATATGTGACACGGCACCAGAGTTAAGTTAGGGTTTTTCAAAATGCTGACACGCCGAGCTCAAAAGGTTCGCCATCACTGATATAGATTGTTATAGAGATGTAATGGGAAGCCAGAGTATGTAGGGCCTTAAAGACCATTGGAATAACTTTGGCTTTGACCCTAAAAAGAAGGGGGAGTCTGGGAGAGTTTTGAGCAGAAGAAGGACATAGTTCTAGTAGAGAGATATAAATGGGGAGGCAATGTTACCTAGTGGTTACAACAATTTCTCTAGGTAGGCTCATGGGTTGAAATCTCAGTCTTTGTCCTTAAGTAAGTCAACTTCACTTCTTTGTCCCTTAGTTCCTCATCCATAGAAAGGAGATAAAAACACTCTCCAGCTCGTAGGGTATTTTTGAGGATTTAATGAGCAAATAATATCTAAATGTGCTTATGACAATAGCTAACATTTAGTAAGAGCTTGGTGAATATTAGCTTATGACAATTTAAGAGAGGTTTAGAAAGAGATGCTGTTTTCTTCACGTGGTCATTATTGCCCAACGTAATTTTCTTGTTTTTTCTTTAGCCTTCACATACTTTTCTTTATATATATTACTGATTTCAGAGAGGAAGGGAGAGGGAGAGAGAGATAGAAACACCAATGATGAGAGAGAAACATTGATCGGCTGCCTCCTGCATGCCCCCAAATGGGGATCTAGCCAGCAACCCGGGCATGTGCCCTGACCAGGAATCAAACCTTGGCCTCCTGGTTCAAAGGTCAATACTCAACCACAGCCACGCCGGCTGGGCTAGCCTTCACATTCTTGACAGGTCATTGGTGAATCTTCCTACTAATTTGGGTGTGCCTAACCAATACAAATTAGTGAAGCTAAAAATAACTGACAACCAGTACTGACTAGGATGTACTCGCCCAGAAGCAAGCTGGCATCACATCCAATTAAACGTTTGGTGTGTGGCACTGTGTGTATTCATGGTTTTGCCTTTTGAGGCTGCCCCTCAAGTGGTGAGAACTGAGGTCAGCTGGGAAAGCCGTTTTCCTGGGCTCTAACTGTAGCACTTAAATTTAGGCTCCTGACTACCGAACAGGCTGATTGGCTTTTTGGCAGGGATTCCCTTGAATCTATTAATCGGTTTGGGGACAGTTGCTCAAATTGTCCTCTAATCCATGATTAAAAATTTATTGAAACTTATGATCTGGCATATGTTTTATCCTGGAGACTGTTCCATGTGCACTTGGGAAGAATGTGCATTCCCCTGTTGGATGGAGTGCTGTGCAGACGTCAGTTAGGTCAGGTTGGTTGATAGTGTTGTCTTCTCTATCCTTGCTGATTTTCAGTCTAGCTTTTCTATCTATTAGTAAGAGTGGGGAGTATTGACATCTCCAAGTATTATTTTTGAATTTTCTATTTTTCCCTTAAATTCTGTCAATTTTTGCTTCATTTGTTTTTGGATTCTTGTTAGGTGCATGTATATATGTTTGTAATTGACTTTTCTTCCTGTTGACTTGACCTTTTCATCATTATCAAAAGTGCCTCCCTTTCTCTGTTAACATCTTTTGTTTTAAAGTTTATTTTGTCTGTGGTCAGTATAGCTACTCCAGCTCTCTTATGGTTACTTGTGATATATCTTTTTCCATCCTTTTACTTTTTTTTCTTTTTTTTTAAAATTGTAGTAAAATACATACAACAAAATTTACCATCTTAACCATTTTTACCTGTACAGTTTGGTGGTATCAAATACATTCATAATGTGGTGTAACCATCACCACCATCAATATTCAGACTCTTTAGCTTGTAAAACTGAAGTTCTATATTCATTAAGCACCAACTCCCCCATTGTCTCTTTCCCGCCAGCCCCTGGCTAACACTTTTAGTAATTCATTCCAGGATTGTTGAGCATTGCTATGAAGGCTATTCTAAGCTTGTTTTATACACTTGCATATTCACTAGGCAGAAGCTCTGTTTTCATCTCTGAACTTAGCCCGGTGTCTGGCACATACTAACTGCCCAGTGAGTGTGTTTCATGGACACATAACCTGTTCTCAGACACTGGGAATCAAGATTCTAGTGATAAATACGGTCTATCAGATTTTCATTGCAACAAGACAATTTTAAAGTCTCATGAGTTTTGGCCTAATTTCTCAAGGTCTGTAGTTAGTTTCCTATTCTATATGTGGAACCCTACATGTGAAAAAGTGAGTTTTATTGCTTTCTTGCCTATAGGCAACAGAAGCTCAACATAATAGTGACTAAACAAGAATTCCATGAAAACTTGCATTAAACTGTAGAGAATCTATCTGGAACTATTGAAAACTGTTGAAAAATATAAAAAATATAGTTATATAATGAATATGACAGAATATCTTTGTACTCAAAATGGTGCTATTGAAAATTATATAAATTAACTATGATGTTTATTGCTATTTTATTTGAAAATTTAAGTCGATTTATTCAGTTATTCTAAAAATTTGATCAGTTTGTTCTAGGATATAGGCCTCTATATCATAGGAGCATAGATAAGACTAGTTTTTCTGGAATCTCAGAAAATACTTGACCATTTAAGCAAATCAGTATTTAGTAGTGCAGCATTTTGAAAGAATCTTTCCCCTACACTCCAAAGACAAAACAAGACATTCAGTGGTTCTACTCCAGTGGACCTTGTAGATGAGCTGACAAATTTTTTGTCCTAAAGTTTTTGCTTTTGCTCTTGTTGGAAAATATGCCTAATCTAGTCATTGAGACAACATGTCTAATTATAAAGCCCTACAGAATACAAAGCTTTGTTTATCAGATTCTCTCAGAAGATGAGATATTGAGTGATAAAGATCTTCTGTTGTCCCACCTTTGTTTAATTGTTCAGCTTTTTAATTGGAGAATTGTTCTCTGCCCCCTCTTTTTTATTTTAATAGGAAACCTCCATTTTAGAGGAATATAATATCAACTGGACTCAGAAACTGGGAGCTGGAATTAGTGGTCCAGTTAGGTAAGAGACCCATGTGCAAACTATGACAAAATTGCTCTGAAAAGGGCCATTTGAAATGCACCTTAAATTAGAAGCATCAATGGTGCCAGATTTGTGAAACAGCCTTAATTTAACAAGTAGAGGTGTTTAAACAAGTTAGGCTATTTCTCATCTATTTAGAAATATACTTAAGTGACCAAGTCACATGTTCTGTAACATGGAATCATTGAAGATGTTGATCCTGTGGAGCCACTGAGAGTCACCTGTAGCCAGCAGAGGCCTCACGTTGGCATCACCTGGCTTAGGAGCTGAGGCCTAGGAAGAGTGGATGAGATCCTGCTCTGCCTTTCCACCTGCTAGGCTTGGGGGCAAGTTTGTTCTGATGCACCTGGATATAGTCTTGATTAGAAGTACAATTCTCAAAGAACAAACCTGTTAAGTTAGTTTTCACTGTAACATAGATGATTTCTGATTGAATTTTTTCTTCAAATCTAGAGTCTGTGTGAAGAATTCTACCCAAGAACGGTTTGCACTGAAAATTCTTTTTGATCGTCCAAAAGCTAGAAATGAGGTATGATCCTTTATTGCCTTGTCTTGCCTAAATATTGAAGTGCCTAATAATTCATTTTATAAGCAGGGCAGCTTCATGCATAGATGCACGAAGAATCTTTAAAAAAATTTAAGTTCATACTTACCCCTTTTTTGCTATTCATCCTCTATAATAATAAAAGCGTAATATGCTAATTAGACCAGACGACCTTCTGGACAACTTTCTGGATGAAGCTGGGGCTGCAAGGGAAGCCCAGGTCCCAGGTGCCTGCTGGCAGCCGGAGGGAAGTCCGGGTCCTGGGTGCCAGGGGGAAGCTGGTGCCGGCAGCCAGGGGAAGGAAGGCCTACTCTTGCATGAATTTCGTGCATCGGGCCTCTAGTGTTATTATAAAAGCAGTCCTACATCTATCAGTACCAAAGGCTGTTAGTAGAGTATTGTTTCAATTAATGTGATTCTTATACATAGTTGAGTATTCAGGTTTACTTCCTCTTTTGCTTACTGGAAGGGTCTGGTGAAAAGTGTCTTGAAAGTGTGCTGCAGGAGGACTCTGAGGATGTGTTTCTAGTTTTTAAAAATAGACATTTGTTTTGAATGATCTGGACTGGTGATGACATGTTAGTAAGAGTGCAGTGAAGGACTTACTCTTTTGCTTACAGATGTATGAATAATATCTGAAAGAAAATAAATTGTTTGCTAATTCATTTGCTAATGGATAGGACAGGAGCAAGTAATCTGTTGTTGAGGTTTCATTCATAGAAAGAGCATTAAGGAGATAATCTGTGTGTGACCCCCCTCTTTTTTTTTTTTTTACATTATTCTAGGTGATAAGGTTTTTTACTGTAATAGGCTTAGCCTCTTGTGCCTAATGTTGTCAGTTTTTTGTGGGGGTGTGGGGAGAGAAAATGTTGGCCTCCCCTATGTACAGAAACATTTCCTCTCTTCTCTTTAAGGTACGCCTGCACATGATGTGTGCCACACACCCAAATATAGTTCAAATTATTGAAGTGTTTGCTAACAGTGTACAGTTTCCTCATGAGTCCAGCCCCAGGTAAGACTACACAGGGTCATCATACTATGCCTACCTCTCCATATGTAGGCCAAGGTGTAGTGGGTTTTCCTCTTTTGTGCCCTCTCTCTCTCTTCCCCTTTCACTCCTTCCCTTCCTCCCCGTCTGCCTCCCTCCCTCCCTCTTTCTCATTCTTCCCTACATTTTGTTTTGGAAAATTTCAAATGTTTGTGAAAGCAGACAGAATTATGTAATGAATCCCCAGGTACCCATCACCCAGCTTCAGCAGTGATGAGCTCATTGCCAGTCTTGTTTCATCTATACCTTACTACTCTCCTGGCCTCTCTGATTATTGTGATTACTTTCTCTTTTTTAAAAAAAGCAAGTAATGTGGAATTAAAACAGATTCTATTTCAAATTAGCAAAAGGAAACCAAATATTATTCTAGGCAATGTTTTAGAGGTTGATATGGCAAAAAGCCCTTATTGCTTAGTCTGACATTCCTTTTAAAGGGAGAAACCAACATCATTCTTTTAGCTGCCAAATGTTTGGCAAGCCCATTGAACGGTGTTCTAAGTCTCTTCCAGGAAATTAAAAATTAAAATAAGGTTTGTTTTCTGTTGGAGGGAATGAGCTATAATTCTGCCATCATAGCAATGGGATAGGCACCAAGGAGAGGCATCCATAAAGTACTTTGAGCTTATAAAGGAGAGCTGCAAGCTGTAGGCTGGGGAGGTGAGTTGTCACAGAGCTGTTACATGGGAACTAGGACTTGAAGGGGATAGGAAGAAGTTTTCCAGGTGGAGAAAGAAGATGGATTTGTAAAAACAAATGGGAAATGAATGATTATTTCTTACAACTGTGCTCTGTTGGTGAAAGCATTTGGATGGAAGCTGGAAGCATTTATATCAAAGGATGGTAACCAAAATTCAAAAAAATTTTTTTATAACATGAGAACTTTTGCTTTTATTTAGTAATTGTGTAACCCTTTCCAGCTATCTTGCTGGATATCCTCTGGGTCACATGAAAAAAACTAGTGGAGTGTGTGTGCGGGGGGGAGTAGATACACACACACACACACACACACACACACAGAATGAAAAACCAAGACAGCTCAATACCCAGCCAAATGACTTGAAATTCATGTCCTACACAACGTCATATTCTGTTTTCAACATATTTTCATTCTAGCTGCCCTAAAATGTATATACAAAATATGTCACTTAAGTGTAATGTTCTCAAAAGGATCATTATTTTCAAAACTAAATCTCTCACTCCCACTTTAGCTTCTTAGAAAGTGTTAGGTCAGGGATATTCCTTATGCACAGTGTCCATTTGGTAGTGGACACTCAAAGGGGCTTGGTAGGACTAGACTTAGGAAGTAAATGACACACTTTGTAGATGAGGTATCTCTTTAGATTAGCTACTTGATGTTTCAATTCTTTTTTTTTTTTTAACTTAACAAAATCAAATGCTTTCAAACAGGGCTCGACTCTTAATTGTAATGGAGATGATGGAAGGGGGAGAGCTATTTCACAGAATCAGCCAGCACCGGCACTTTACAGAGAAGCAAGCCAGCCAAGTAACAAAGCAGGCAAGTTAACCCCGGGTACAAATCAAACTGCCAACAATGTTGGTTAACAAGCACAATTTCATTGGGGGGGGAATAAAAGAAAGCTTGCAGAAAAGCTCTATTTGCTCTCTCATTGCCTGCTTTGTTATGTGATCAGAAAAGATGCTTTGACAGGAGAAATGTGACACCTTCTATGCTTTGGGGGGGGACTGTATTCTTAAGTGGTTGTCAATTGTTTGTCTATTATAAGATGTAAATAAACTCTGGAAGGAAGGTAATCTTAACTCTTGTAGATTGTAGATATCTTTAGACATGGCTTTCAAGCACTGTTATTGAACTTTGAGATAAAATGTTGCTGATACCACTTAAAAGATTGTATAGTGTAAAAATATGTTCTGACAATTGTATATAAGATAATTTTTGCTTATGAGTCACCTTTTTCTCTTCAGATTTTAGTAGTATTATAAGGTCTTTGTAATTCTGGGTTATTCCTGGTTACAGTCTTTCTATTTTGATGCCACTTTTAAAAATTAATCCTCACCAGAGGATATTTTTTCCATTGATTTTTAGAGAGAGTAGAAGGGAGGGGGAGAGACAGAGAAACATTGATGTGAGAGAGACATCGATTGGTTGCCTCCTGCACTGACCCCGACAGAGGGCTGGGGTCGGGGATCGAACCTGCAACTAAGGTACGTACCCTTGCCTGGAATTATTGAACCCATTACTCTTCAGTCCATGGGCCGACGCTCTAACTACTGAGCTAAACAAGCTAGGGCTTACTTGATAGCACATTTCATTGCTAGAGAAATGATTTATGTCACAGACAATACTAGGAAACCAACTGGAAATAACATCTTGAGGAGATCAAAAGCTAAACCCTCAAAGCTAATCTTCATGTCAAGCAAGCAAGGCAAAGAAAAGCAGAAAGCCTAGCACAATTGGTTCTTAATTTAAAAATCCTTCAAAATTTTCCATGAGCATTTTTTGATGCCTCCTTTCTGGTGCGGTGGAGCTGATACTTGGAATGCTAAGACATTTCCATACTGAGAGTTGAAGAAAAGGCAGAATTTGCTCTTGCTATTTAATTTTAAAAGTTATACCTTGTATTTTTCAAATACTAGGACTAAAGGGTGAGCTCTGATAATCTTCTGTAAAACAAAACCCCTTCACATCTACCTAAACAGGCCACATTTCACCAAGTGGGATGAGCACATTGGAATATCAGGTGGAAAAATCCAGTTAGCTGCTTTCCATTGTTCTTGAGGGCAGAGCTTGAAAGTTGAGCTCCCTGGAGAGTGCAGCTCCCTTCTGAGCCACATGTCAATGCGGCTGCCCTGCTGGGGGAGACCAGGCCTGCTGTCTGCGCAGTGTTCACTCTGCAGTGCTTGTCACATGGCAGATGAATGCAAGTGGAAACATTTCATTTCTCTCACTGTGTACAGGATTTAACCATCAGTTCATTCTGATAAAGAGTCATTTTACTGTTGTATTTTTTCTTTTTGCTTAACAAAATACACGTTGCAGGTAAACTAAGTTCTATTTCTTGGTACCAAAAGTTTTACTTAATTTCTGCTTTAAAATTGAAGACCAGCCATAGTCTTAATGGACTTAATTAAGGATCATTTTTTAATATCCCGAGTTCTCTAAACTAGGGGCAGTAAAGAGTTAATTTTTCTAAGGTGTGGTTGCTCATTATGTCCTTTTCCAGATAGCTCTGGCTCTACAGCACTGTCACTTGTTAAACATCGCGCACAGAGACCTCAAGCCTGAGAATCTGCTCTTCAAGGATAACTCTTTGGTGAGATGCCTTGCTTTTCTGCATTTTAGTGCTGCCATTCACAACATAGTTCCGAAGTGGGCGTGGAGGTGTGTGTGTATGTGTTTGGAGTGCTCTGAACCCAAGTGAAAAGGCTTTAGGCAGCTTATTTTTTCCCACTTATTTCCTTGCTGGAAGCCCAGAGAAATACCCCTCTCATGGATAATTTTGGATGATCCTTATATGTATTTGTAGGACTTAAGATTTTGGATATTATTTGGGGGGACTTCAGGATGGGGCCAGAATCTATGTGCTGTTTTATATTACCTTAAAACTTAACAGTTGTATTTGCTGTTAACCCTGATAAGGTGTATTTTTCTCTCCAACCCCTACCCTCTGACACCTACACCATGTCCCATCAAATAAGTTACTCTGGCTATCATAAAATGGATGTTGGTGAGAAGTTATGGGCCAATCTATAGAGCCAGGGAGCTTTTGAGTAAGATTTTGATTTTAGTGCTGACTTTATAAGTTATAAAACAAGGCTAACTGTGAGTCGGTAGAAATTGCTTACTTCTTTGTTACTAAGAACAATTCCTCAATATGAATCATTGTCTCCAGACCTGAGGATATACTACTCATATACTCAGGTCTCAATCAGAAACTTGTGAGTGCTCAAGGTAACATGCCGTGCACCTGGATTTCCCTCTAATGTTTACTGAGAACTCTGGAGCAATAACTTCCATTTATTTTATTTCAGGATGCCCCAGTGAAGTTGTGTGATTTTGGATTTGCCAAAATTGACCAAGGTGACTTGATGACACCCCAGTTCACCCCTTATTATGTAGCACCTCAGGTAAGCATGTTCTGTTTCTGCCACTGGCTGTGCCACCAAGCTGCGTGTGCACTCACATTCCTCCTCTACAGGACTAGTAGGTGTGCATTACAAATGGGAGGGGGAGTGCTCAGTTTCAGAAACCTAAAAGCTGCTTAATTTGATTTAGGCATTTTATTCTTTTGGAATCTACTTTATTGAGGTATGATTTATACATAGTACTTCTACTTGAAGTGTTGTTTGATGAGTTTTGACAAATGGATACTCCTGCAAGATGATCATCACAATCAAGTTATAAAACGTTTCCATCACTTCAAAAGCTGTCCCGTGTGCCTTTCCAGTCAGATTGCTCCCAACTTAATTCCTAGCCCCAGGCAACCACTGACATGCTTTCTGTTATTATTGGTTAGTTTTGTCTGTTGTAGAATTTCATAAAAATAGAATTTATGTATCTTTTGTGTTTTACTTTTATTCAGCATATTTTTTAAATTCATCCATGTTGCATGTATCAGCATGCTTTTACACAGGCATGAGGGATGTCCCCAGGAAAAAGTCATCTCAGATGCCTCGATGGGCAGGAAGAATAGATAAATCTCCTCCAGGGACCTGATCTTAATGTTCTTGACCTGGGCAAGCACTGATAGATTGCTGGTGATAAGAGGGTGTGGGGCGGGGGGGCGGGGTGTTGAAAGTATTGTGTTTATGTGGAGTTTTTTTGATTGCTGACTGCCAGTGTGGACCCTTTTTAGCCTTCCAGGAGTCTCTCAAGTTGTGTGTCATTGTGTGATTTTCAGTAAACTGTTCCCTTTGGTCTGACTCTGACAGGTACTAGAGGCACAGAGAAGGCATCAAAAGGAGAAATTTGGCATCATACCTACCTCACCAACACCCTACACTTACAACAAGGTAGAGGAAGAGATATTTATCTTCACCCCTCTGGGTAGCCTCTTTTCAGTGAGCTATTTGTGGCCCTCTGGGAATGTGGCTCATTCCATTCTTATCCCTTAATCTTCCTGTGCAAAAGGCTGGAAGCAGCCACACAAGCAGAAGAGTACTTGGAATTCAAGTTTTTGTATGATGAAATATAAAGTAAGGTTCTTATCGATTTAGGTTTTGCAGCAGGAGCCAAGGGCTATGGTCATCTGGAGGTTGTTTATTTGGCTAGTTGTATAATCCAGTGACCATATTTAAAAGATAGGGTTGTCTTTAAATTTACTTGCTAAAATCTCAGCATGAATGCAATGAATTTCCTGCATGATGTAATTTCCCAATATTTTTTTCTTCTCTTCCTTTTCCATTTTGTGAATCTAATGGTGCTCATGAATTAGTATGGCATTCATCAAAATTACACTGCAGATGAGTAACATGTTGAAAAAAACAGTTCATATTACTTAAAAAAAAATTTGTATTGATTTTTTACAGCGAGGAAGGGAGAGTAATAGAGAATTAGAAACATCGATCAGCTGCCTCCTGCACACCCCCTACTGGGGATGTGCCTGCAACCAAGGTACATGCCCTTGACCGGAATCGAACCTGGGACCCTTTAGTTCTCACGCCGACGCTCTATCCACTGAGCCAAACCGGTTAGGGCTCATATTACTTTTGAATGTGTATATATGTTGGTCTAAGTAAAAACTTTATATTGGGCAACTAAATGAACACTGAATGCTACATTGACAAGTCATTTTTAATAAAAATATGTAATAAGATATAATTAAATTTTTGAAAACTAAATATATCAACCTTAATTAAAGAAAGAGAGAGAAGCAGCTTGGCCCATGTGGCTCAGTTGGTTGGAGCATCATCCCATGCACTGAAGGGTTGCAGGTTCAAACCCTGGTAGGGACACATGTGGGAGGCAGAGCTGATGGATGTTTCTGTCTCCCTCTCCCTTCCTCTCTCTGTAAAGTCAATAAAAACATGTCCTTGGGTGAGGAGTAAAAAAAAAGGGGCGGGGGAGGAGCGGGCACAATGAGTCCTTTATGGCCAAAGAAATGCTTTTATTTATTTTATTTTATTTTTAAAAAATTTTAGGGAGGGAGAGAAAGGGTGAGAGAGAGAAGGGAAAAAAGAAAAAAGAAAAGGAAAGGAAAGAAAGAAAGATGGATATGAGATACATTGATCAGTTGCTTCCTGTATATGGCCTGACTGGGAATCGAACTTGCAACCTAGATATGTGCCCTGATCGGGAATCGAACCAGTGACCTTCCAGTGCACAGGACCAACTGAACCATACCGGCCAGGGCCAAAGGAATGAATGCTTTTATTTTTTTATGTATTTATTTATTTTATAAAATATGCTTTTTATTGATTTCAGAGATAGGAAGGGAGAGAGAGAGAGAGAGAGAGATAGAATCATCAATGATGAGAGATGCTGATGTGTGTCTATGTAGTGTAGGTGGCACATAAAAAATATGGAGTGAAGCTCTAGCCGGTTTGGCTCAATGGATAGAGCGTCGGCCTGAGGACTGAAGGGTCCCAGGTTTGATTCCGGTCAAGGGCACATGCCCAGGTTGTGAGCTGGATTCTCAGTGTGGGGCATGCAGGAGGTAGCCGATTAGTGATTCTCTCCCATCATTGCTATTTCTATCTCTTCCTCTCCCTTCCTCTCTGAAATCAATTAAAAAATATTTTTTAAAAAATGGAGTGAAAAGTTAGACTTCCTGAAACTTTTCCAGTCTCTGTTAAGTGATTCTTGGATAGCTCAGCCTGTGTATGTCGGCCAGCCATGGAGGCTTTATTTTGGAGCTGTGCCTCTGCTAAGAGTGACCATTTTCTCTTTGCTTTCAGAGCTGTGATTTATGGTCCTTAGGAGTGATTATCTACGTGATGTTGTGTGGATACCCTCCTTTTTACTCCAAACATCACAGTCGGACTATCCCAAAGGACATGCGGAGAAAGATCATGACAGGCAGTTTTGAGTTCCCAGAGGAAGAGTGGAGCCAGATCTCAGAGATGGCCAAAGATGTTGTGAGGAAGTGAGTTCCTGGGCCACTGGGTGGGGAGACCAAGGAAGCCCTAAGGTGCTGGAACACAGGGAATGTTGGGTAGAGAAAAGTCATTTGTTTCTTAGTCATGTTCATTCCTATTTAGCATCACAGAAATCTTACCCCTGGAGCCTGAGATGAGGGTTCTCTGTGTCCATACCTCCGTGGAAATGGAGCTTTGCTCCCTCCTGTTGCATTCCTAGAATTTATCCCTGGGTTGTGAACCCAGGTCCTTCAGTAACCAGTGTCTCTGTGAGCATTAATTCAGGGCCTTAGTGATAATCTCTACTCCCTGACCCCTGTGTGCCCTCTTGTCTGTAAGCCAATCATTTGGGATGGATGTTAGGAATGAACTGGGGTATTAAGATGATAACAATGCTTTTGGCTTTTCATTTCTTGGCTGCTGTGGGAGTATGTGATTAATGGTGTGGGGCCTGGGCCCCACCCTCCAGCCTTCTCACTGCTAGTTGATTGCTCTGACATATATGAAGATGGGAAGAGTTAGAAGAATTAGGGCTAATAAGTAGATGAGGGACAGTTGACATTCAGAGCCCTTTGGTAGCTGGAGGGCTAGGTAAGAAGTCAGACCTAAAGTTGAGGTATATATGGGAGGCTCAGCTGCCTGGGTCTTGGGCACTGTTCTAGTATTCCTATTGCTTGGTTTCACTCAGCAATTTTTCCTTTTTTGGTTTCAGTTTCTTCATCTGTAATGTGATAAAGATAAGCATTAAAGGGGCAGTATCTGGGAACTGTCTCCTGACAGTACAGTCCTTTCTCTATGGAAATTACTTCCTTTCATAAGTGAGCTTGTTCTGATGATTAGGGGTCTGTGTATCTAAAGAGGGGCTAGTTTCTAAAACATATAAGCAAAAGTTTTTTAGGAGGGTGGAGGCAGTATTTAAATCACCACCTGTCTTCCCATGCTGTCTTTTCGGCTACTTAACCAAAATATCAATATCCTTTAAGTGGTTCTTTGTCAGTTCTATAGAATATCACTAGAGCAACATGAATCCTTTCTTTAGAATCTGAAGCTGTTTGTTCAGAATGATCCAGAATAAAAGAGCAAATAGGCATGTTGTCCTGACTCTGACATTTGGAACGGGAGGATATGTAGTTGGAAGGAGGTGCTGTAAATAGCCCAAGGAGCATGCTGGGGTGAGCTAGGAATTGCATCAGCATGAATACATACTAGTAAGATGTAAAGAACTCTGATCAGAGCAATACACTAGGCTTAGAAGGAAATGCCATCCCCTTCTCAGAGTTTCTAGGTATTTAGCTTTAGAATGTTTCTGGATAAAAGGTTCATGTCCTGCCATATGGTAACATCGAGATTTTACCACAAGTAGCAACCTGGGTTTTCAGAACCTCCTGACCCTTCAACTAATTTTATAGCCACTATTAGCCAAAAGAGCACTCTCAGTCCATTTTGGGAATTAGAGCTCACTACCCTAAAAACATCAATATGGAGATTCAGGGTCTCAGGAACTGTGAGCAATATGTAGGATTATTTTATTAATCCTACATATGGGATTAATTACTGGGCTGAAGTATATCTGGGTTAAGTTTTTTCCTACCACTTTTACCTCACTTTGTTTGTACAGATGGAAAGGACCGCCTAGGGACACAGAGCCCTCACAGCTAGTGGTTAGGGACTAGAACCCCACCCCTGCTCTGCAGGTGGAAAGCCTAGGCTTGTAGGAGTTGGAAGAAAGTCGGAAACTAGAGCTGGTTAGTGTGAGACCCCAGAACTTCCTGGTTGTCTGGAAGCAACTGTACATGGCAGCCCTGTTGGCCTTTACTCCACAGGCTCTTGAAGGTCAAACCAGAGGAAAGACTCACCATTGAGGGAGTGTTGGACCACCCCTGGCTAAACTCGACTGAGGCCCTGGATAATGTTCTACCCTCTGCTCAAGTGATGATGGATAAGGTGTGTGTGTGTTTTTTTTAATTCTTTATTGTTTAAAGTATTACATAAGTCTCCTTTTTTCCCCATTGACCTCTCCCCAGCCGCCCCCACCCTCCATGCATAAGGGTTTGAATGATACTTATTTTGTTGGCAGATTAGGTTGAGTTGAAAAGGAATGCTGGGAACTCAACTTAGTGAGGGGTTAACGGCAAAACAATGTAGAGCATGCAGTCTTTTCCAGAGAAGTATCTCTGGTTTCCTGAAAATGAGGGCTGGAAATAAAGAGCTTCCCATAAAAAACCCAGATCAAGGCCTGGTAACCATACACTAAGGGAGCACAACACTCAAAGGAATATCCTCCCTATGATCGTCAGTGGGAAAAACAACCTAACTTCATTAATGGAAAGTCAGTGAGATGCATATGACAGGGCCAGGCTTTGAAAGTAGACAGGTCTTACATTTAAAAAATATATATATTTTTATTGATAGCAGAGAGGAAGGAAGAGGGAGGGAGGGAGAAACACCAATGATGAGAAAGAATCATCCATCAGTTGCCTCCTGTGTGCCCCCTACTGGGGATCAAACCTGCAACCTGGGCATGTGCCCTGACCTGGAATTGAATACTGACTTCCTGGTTCATAGATTGATGCTCAATCACTGAGCTACAACGGCCAGGCTAGTCTTATCTTACTAGGATGTAGCTGAGAGTCCATTGTAGAAATTTGAGAAGATGTTTGCATAGGGAAGGTGTTTAGGAATGGTTAACCAGATTTGCAGACTTGCCAACTTAGGACTTTTGTGGTAATTTAGAATCTGAGGGGCGGCTCTGAGAGCAGAGAAGTAGAGATGAATGAATTGGCTCAATACTTTTGAAGACAATTTTCTACAATTTTTGGTGACTGACTAGATATAAGGGAACATTTGGGTAGCACATCAGGTAGTACCATCAACAAATAGAGGAAAACCAAGAATGAGGCTAGTTTGAGTGAAGGGAAATCTTTTAGGTTTTAGATATTGTTTCAAGTGGTAGATGGACACTCAAATGAGATTTGTGGTCTGGAAACAGAGTGTGGCTGAGAGGCAAAGGCAGTGGCAAACAGGCCAACCTGGCCAGGGAGAATGCTACCTTCTTAAAAGGGATGAGGTTAAAGTGTGACAAAGAGGAGAACCAAGATGGCGGCGTAGGGAGTGGACCTGTGCGTGCTGCTCTCACAGCATCATTGAAACTACCAACTATGAAGCAAACAACCACCACTCAGAACCATGGGGAAGTTGGCCCAGTGGGAGATCTACAACTGGAAGAAAAGAAAGAAGTGCAGTGAGACTGAGTGGGAGCTACGGAGGCGCCAAAAACAGAGGTACGCAGTCACAGGCCAGGCGGGCTGCAACTGGATTCGAATTTTTTTTTCAATCGGAAGCGGTTACGAACCCTCGAATCCTCTGGGCTTGCTCGGGGCGGGTCTCTGAGGCCCCAGATCCCACGGGGAGAGGTGGCCACGGCCTTGCAGCGGTTGGAAAGCGAGGGAAGCTCTGACGCACCGATGCTCGCCGGCACTGAGGGACTAGAAGTCCTGGTGTCCCGGGGAGGCGAGGGGCAGGGAGACGCCGCCATTGCTATTTCCTCCTCGCTGGCTACTCCCTGAGACCCCGCCCTACTCAATTTACATCCCCATCCAAGCTGTGCCGGTGGCACAAGAAGAAATGCCTGTGCTTTTACAAACTCTCAGATCCACTGAGCTGGTTC